TTAAAAATAATCATAATGGTAATTCATAGAATCTTCAGAGAAATATAGTTATAATCGTACTCATAGCTCATAGCGGATTTAAAAAAAAAATGGTTATAATGGTAACTTATAATGAATATTTAAAGTTAAGAAATGGTTATAACTGCAACTGATAGTGGATCTTCAGAGTTAAAAATTGTTATAATTGTAACGCATAGTGCATTTTTGAGAGTTAAAAATAGCTAGATTAATGACCATTTCAGCACAAAAGAAATCTTTAAAAAATAATGATTCATAATCTTATTAAGTTGATGCTGTTTCCTTAAGGAAGGAGATTTACTGGTATCATTAAAATTATGTTAAATCTACAATTACTTAACACTGATCACGAGATGTTACATGCCAAACGTCATGCAATTTTATCTACTCTTGAGAAACCCCAGAAAAAAAGATAAGAATTATGAAAAAAAAAGAAAAGTGTCAATTAAAAAACAACGCCAACAAAATACGAGTTTCTGTTATTATTTGTTAAACAGGTATGTTAATAATAACTTTCATTCTATCTGTCTTACCTCGCGCTCTTTGCTGGTTCTGGTTTAAGCAACTCGATTGCGTAGATGACTTTATCATTTATCTCACTTGCTACTGATAATATTCGAACTAAAGCTTCAACTCTTTTGTAAGTTTTTTTCTACACACATTTGTAATTAATTACAAATCTTACCACACATAGATACCAGATATCAATACATAAAGCTTTCGTTGTAAAAAAGAAACTCACCTACCCAAAATTAGTAAAATAATCACGTTGGACGACATTTTAAAAATATTTTACATATACGGTAGGGTTAAGGATGAGTTTCAATAGTAATCAAAACTATTTACTTGGATTATATTACACAATTCTTTTTTTTTTTCACCAAAGGTAAAACCGAAAATGTAATCTTTGACGTAGAGGTCAAATACATTCTTTTATTGACCGCAACTTTTCAAAACTCATCAGCACAACTTGGATCAGGAAACCAAAGAAATACAGTTAGGCCTCTCATAATGGTGATTTCTGTATAATATTCATGGGTATTTTCATCCCTCTTTAGCTCACTATATATTAACCTAAATTAATTTAGGTGAGTGAATAATGTTATGGCACCTAATTTGGTTTGCTGACCCAAGTTGTGCTGATGAGTTTTGAATAAGCGAAAATACAATCCATAGTAGAGTGTGCAGTCAATCAAGAAATGCATTAGACCTCTAGGTAACAGGTTACATTATCCATTTTACTTTTAATAAAAAGAAAAAATAATCTTTGATATAATCATTAAACAGTTAATTCGCTATATATAATAACCAATAATAAATTAGGCGCAATGCCATAATATTATTCACACACCTAAATTAATTTAAGTTACTACATGATAAATTAAGAAAACTCAAAAATCCCATAAAAAAATAACTACTTGAATGTTGTGCTGTAATAAACCAAAATATTAATAACTAGTAACTAAAAATAGAATTAGCATAGTGCATTATTTATTAACATTATATTGCATTCATATTCTACAATAAATTTTTATTAATTACAAGAATTGAAAATTCAACCCTGATCAGGCTAAACAACTATGTATTAGATCCCTGAGCTCTGAAAAGGACGTCCCTCGTTTTGAGCTACTGACCCGAGGTAAAGCGGCATCGCAGTCACGAGGCTTTTATCGAGCTCATTGAACCGTATAAAAGAATTGACTGTTACTTTCAGAACACACACACACGAAGTTCAAAATACAGAGCATGTTAGCGGCATTAGGTAGGTCTCGAATCTTAGACGCTGTATTCCGCACTCCTGCGTATTAAACATTAAATTAATCTCGGCGCAAATAATTACTGTCATGCATATGTAAGTAATCCTGTAAGTAAAAGGTCTACTTTTCTAAAACGCTCAGGTTATAAGGTGTCGTATTTTTTATATAATGAGTCTGTGTGAACCTTATTTGTTGTTTTTCTGCACCAAAACAACCTCCTTCTGTAGTAAAATTACAGTTATTGATCCTTATATTTTTACATTTACTAACTAAAACATTGGAAACCCACATCATAATAACGTGTGGAGCCACCATTGATTAGGTTCTAGATATGATTTGGCTTTGATTCTATTAGTATTTGGAGAATACCTGCTTTAATCTTCGAACAATCCTTTATTCATTATCATCTTCAATCACAGTAGCATTGACGGTAATAGGCTACATCTGCTGATAGCTCGTTTCGAAAAATCCCATAGATTATCAATGAAACTGAAGTCAGGAAACTGTGCAGAAAAGGGTAGATATTGGAAATCTGTACAATGCTCCGTAAACCAGTCACGAACGATTTTATTTATAGCTGATAATACCTTTATCGTCCTGCAAGTAACAACCTTCGTTTGGGTAAAAGAAAAGCATTGTGGGGTGCACCTGGTCAGCTAGGATGATCAAGTATTCACGAGCACATGTGTGACCATTAACTGGAACCAAGGAAACTAGTCCATGCTACTTTCCAGAACCTTGTACAATGGAGACGATGAGGGATATATCATGAGTTTTTGGGTTTTCACCTCCTTGAAATCCCCCCATCATCCCAGTTAAACGTGAAATATGATTCACGTGACCACATTACACATTTTTTTTGGTCAGTGGTCAATCCTAATGATATCAGTACCACTGGAGACATTTTTTCGATTATTGGCAGATAAAGGTAGCCTACATAAGGGGGGTGGTTATTTTGTCTTTCTTTTGAATGCTAAGCTACACAATGGCTATCCGCACATGCCTACCATGGGTATCGAGCCACGAGTTTTAATGTTATAAAACTATAAGGTTACCTCTGAACCATCAGAGAGCAAGTAAAGAGAATATACTTACCAATGTTGATTTCACGCATATCCCTCCGCGTTATTCTTATGGAAATAGGTGTTTATGGACCATTATTACAGTTATACATCAAATCACACCCACAATTGAACGTCTGAACAATCCTTAATACTTGAATACTTAATTCTTACTAACAAGAAATAAGTATTATTGATAAGAAAAATAAACATAAGTATAAATACAAAATGTAACGACATGTAATACATTAGTTACCACTAACTAACAATAAAATCATAAGTTTTTAAGTAAATATAAAAATTCATACATTTAATAAATATATTTTGACTTTTAACTTAATTTGTTTAATGAACTCATTTCTCTTATATTGTTTGGTATAGCATTCCAAATTTTTACCTCCCCCCAGTGGCACAGCGGTATGTCTGCGGACTTACAACGCTAGAAACCGGGTTTCGATACCCGTGGTGGGCAGAGCACAGATAACCCTTGTGTAGCTTTGTGCATAATTAAAAACAAACAAACCAAATTTTTGCCACTATATAAATTATTGATCAATTACTTTTTTAAATTGGTATATATATAAATCAGCATTAATTATCGTATGATTACTTTGAGTCTTTTTGTTATTTCTAAAAAAAAAGTGTTGAAGATTGTGTATGTTAATTTTATTCATTACATTCTGTGAAAATAATTAATTTCATAAATATTAAATGTTTTGTTTTTTATGAAATAACGGATACATATAATCTCGATAGTTTCAACACAAAATTACTCTCATAAGACTTTTTGAATAAACAACAAAGGATGTATATATTCTGAAGAACCTTTCCAACAGGTATTTGCATATATTAATAGTAGATAAATAAAATTATAATATAACGTTATTAAACATTTTCTATCAACATTTGTTTAACTTATTACACCAATGTATATTGCAAGAACTTTTTCTTGTAGATTTTATTCCGACCAATTTGATGTATCATAAGTTGTAATACGCAAAAACTTTGCTAATGAACATCTTTCAGGTTCTACCCTATTAATATATAGATACATATTTACTTCATTACTATTAGTATTTCCATTTTGACAAAACACAAATTTGGTCTTTTCAATATTTACAAGCAAATCATTATCACTAAACCAATACTTTAATGGTTAAACATATCTCATTACAAATTACATTTAAACTAAAGATTTTAAATTATTATTATGAGTCAAAATTGTAGTATAATCTGCAAATCTAATCTGCTTTATATCAAATAATAAATGATGTATATCATTATCATACAATAAAAACAACAGATCTTCCAGAACACAACTTTAAGAAACACACCTCTTGTATTTAATAAATCCTCAGAATATTTGTTATCAATATTAGCAGTTGAATTTTCGCTTTACAATTAACTATCCAACCAATTATACATTTATCTCTTATTCGTACATTGTATATATATGTATATTTAATTATAACGTATGATTTACAGAATCAAGTGCTTTAGATAAGTCCAATAATAATTTCACGTAAAACTTGAACAGCTTGTTCAGTACGAAATCCGTAATAATATTCAGACAATAACTCAAACTTATTAGCAAAATGCCAAAGTCTAGTGTAAAGTTGTGGCAAATTATAAAACAACTTAGACAGATGAATGTACAGTATAATATTTAAAATAATGAGAAGTTTAAAAATTTAAAATGGGGCACTAATTAGTCAATCATAGTAAAAAATCACTTTTATTAGTTATATCAGCATTAATAGATTACACATTTCTTTTAAAACACACTTAAAACGTACACGCACGAGTGGAGAATATAAGAATTTACATATATGTGTGTGTGTGTGAGTGTAACAAATATAAAACCAAATCTTCTGGGCATATATATATATATATATAATCGTGGTGCTGGAGTGAGATACACGCAGCTGTCAACGTCTGAAGAGAGAGAGAGGCCTCCAGGCACGAGGATATTTCATCCCCTCGCCAGATGTAAACCGCATTTTTACTTTGTGCTACCCCCTAAATAAACTTTCCTGTCATAGCTGAAGGATTGGGTCCCACTGCATATAACCAGCCGTACCGTTGTTGGTTTTCCTCAGTCTAGAGACTTAACGTGGAGCGTTTGTGTTGAGTAGTTCTTTCTGTGCACGTGACATTCAAAGTTAGCGATGCGCTGAGAGCAGGGTAAAATGGTGTTTAGCTAACCCTGAGCAAGAATTTCTCACGTTTTAATTCTGGTTAGCGTTGTTACAAGGAACAATATCTGTTGCAGGAATATGGAAATCAACTCTTTACAACCAACTAGTTTGGCTTTAGTTAAAACATTGGCTAGTTTTAGTCTATTCATACTATCTGTATCTTGTTTCTCAGACAGCCTGGCATCAACCGAACTAAATAGTTTGAATAATTTGTTGAAAGAACTCAAGTTAGAGGTAGAGACTTTACGAGAAGCCCGCCATCAAGATCAGATCCTCATTAAAACACTAGAGCAGCGACTTGACCAACTAGACAAAACGACAGTTTCGTCCGTAACCACTATAACTCCTAGTTCAGGATCCCCTATTATCACTCCATTCTACTTCCAAGTACCCAAGGGGTCGGAACCTCAGGACAATGAAAGACCTAATCCTCGCCATTACCACCATTTTGAAGCTAGTCACAAACATGGGACAGTAAGAAGCCTAGAGAAAGAACGTAGGAATCTAGGTAGGCTAGAAAGTCAGTTAAAACAACTTCAGCGGGATCTGACTGAGATAGTGGCTGTCAAAGAGAAAGAAGTTGGCATCACAGAAGAAGAAGGAGATTTAAGGCTGGAGACGGAACTGTTGCGGACAGAAATCTACCGGCTCCAACAGAGCTTGGATAGCTTGCGGACCGATAAAGAAAAAGAAGCTCAGGCTTCTCTTCGAGTGAACCAAGTCACAAACAAATGGCTAACGAAGACGGTGGAACAACTTCAAACAGAATTCAGGGAGCTTGCAAGAACCTTAAACATCTCAGCTGCTCTAAACCGATGTCACACATTCGAGTCAAACATTGCGCTTCTCAAGTCTGATTTCGGCGCGCTCCGAAGGGAAGCTGAAGCACTTCAAACGCTACATCTGAAGGACGCAGCTTCAGTAGACCAGCTTCAAGCAGAAGTCAAGGATTTGAGAAGTCTGTCTCAAACGCTTTCTGTTAACTATCAGCATATTTCTGAGGAGGTAAGGAATTTATAATGATTATTCCGAACTCGTGGTCTTTTTATATTTGTTTGTATTCATTAGCGTAAGAATTTTGAAATATGTGCTCAAAAAACATACAAAATTCACAAATCTAAATAAACCCTAATTTAGAAAGACAAATGTTTAATCGCTACTGCATAATTTTTTAACAAATATATTCCAACATAGGAGTACAATCTTAAGCCTCACGGGTGAAGAAAATACTTTGATGGATCAGGTTATGTATGTCATTTATCAAGGGGGAAAATATAAATGTGGGATGCATACACATACAAATATCTGGAAATGTTCATCGTGACAAAAGACTAATCTAACTAGCTTTCGATTATTATTCATAAAAATGATTTAATATCTCGTTATTATTTTTTTACAATCATTCAATTGTGGTGTCCTCCCCAATTCTGAGGGTCGAGAACTATGGTTGTCCAATGTTCTACTAACTTTCCTAATTCAATCTTCTCATCTCCAAACCATTCTAATATCATCGAGCCAACTGTTTTTCTGCCTGCATCTCCATCTTCTTCCTTCGATTTTACACACTAGAATTCTCTGCCAATCTCCCTCTGGTTTAATTATACGCCCAAAGTAGCGCATCTTCCGTTTCCTATATATGTCGAGCAGTTGCATTTTTGTCTTTACACGTTCCAATACTTCTTCATTAGTTTTTCTTTCTATTTATATTTTTAACAATGTATTCCTATACAAATAATCTTGTAAATACACAGAACTTAGAATAATTAAACCCAAAGTATTTGTTTTTGTTCTTTTACAGAAAATGTTCTGAAGAAATATTGTTTATTCTTCGGAACATAAATATAACAGGTCATCATATAAACAGCCTATTATTTAGAAGTATTTCTCCAGTTCTATATCCCATTTAAGATTTTAGAAAATATATTCGGTTTTCAAAAAGATTATTCATTTTGTGTTTGCTGAATGGTAACGCGCTTTTGGAGAATGACCAACAGTATAATGCCCATCTAATCTGTTTTTTGTTTTTTACTTTTGTATGTAATTTCAGTTGTCTAGAAAATCTATATTGCTATTCTTTTTTTAATTAAAAGATGTTTGCATCACTGGTGAAGAAAACACGTGCTTAGAGGATTCTATTACACGTCTTTAATTTTTCTTTTTTTCTTCTTTTTTTTTCGGTAGCAAAATTGAATTATGATTACACTAGATTATGTAGCTTTTCAAATGCCAAACATTTTTCTACAGTTGATAATCTCATTCAGGTTTTTCAATGTAGCTTGAGGCTAATTATGTTGTCTTCACAGAGCCCTAGAGGGCGAACAATGCACTTACGTGAATACTGACAATTGTCAAATAAAACTTGTTCAATCACTGTATAATACATTTTTATTTACATATTGGCCCCCCAGTGGCACAGCGGTATGTCTGCGGACTTACAATGCTAGAATCCGGGTTTCGATACCTGTGGTGAGCAGAGCACAGATAGCGCATTGTGTAGCTTTGTTCGTAACTTCAAACAAAGAAACAAATTTACATATTGCATTATCAAACTTTAAAGTTACAAACTTATTATTTGCCAATGTTTATAAATGTTGCAAAAAAAAGAAAAATAAACACTGTAAATTCGTTAGCGATTTGGTTCATCACAAGTGATTCATTTTTCATTTACTGCAAGTTTTGCTAAATTGGAGATGATATATATTTACCAACTAAACTCTTTACGTACTTTTCAAAATAGTTATTGAAAATAAATTTAAGTATCCCAGCACTCCTATATACTAAACAAACCATAATAACGTAACGATGACAATAGCAAAAACTTCAACCAATCCTTATGCAATGCTTGGGTAAATTTATTTTATGCATATTTAATCATGAATATAATCTTATTATATACTACTTGCGAACCCGTGGTCCTCTGGCCCAAATTTACAGGTTTCGCCATTATAATAGTTCAAGCAAATTTGGCATTGATTTATATTAGATCGCGTAAATATGTAGGCCTACTAATTAATGTTCGTAAATTGGTCAAAGAAATTAAATTTGCATTATAGCGGCTATGATTATTGAACTGAAAAAGTGCAAAATAATAGTTCAACAAATTTGTTTGAACAGTAGTTAGAGTAGGCCTACTTTTTATGTGTTCTGATGTAAATCAATGCCAAATTTGAGGCCCACTTTTGGGGAATCCCCGTAAAAGTGTTTTTATGAAATACTCGAATTCTCTGAATGGTTAGGTGAAAATTTTTACTTCTGGGCAAACCTAGGGGCCGAGACGACACGTTTGCCACCACTTAGAAGTTGGTGCGACCAGCGGTTTATGAGGAGTTACATGACAGACACACAGACACTCCTAAAAGTTATTATATTTATTCAACTGTCTATGATTTTGTCATGAACACGTAAAGAAAATTATCAAACAAATAAACTTCTTCGTGTTACTTTTTAATTTATCTTTTGACATAATTTTTATTTATGTATTTATTTGAACGCATACTTTCATTCTATGTAACAATAAAAAAAATAGATTATTTTAACGCATGCGCGGTTAAATGTATAACGTATATTTTTATATTAATATATCAAAAACCAGTATGGAATTTTACCTACCAAAATTACAAGTTCCTTATCTATCTGTAAAGTGAATTTAAATTATCTCAGATTATCCTTCCATACTGCATAAACAATTGTAAAATTATTCTGTAAACGCAGCCATGCGATAATACACACATGCGCAGCATTTATAATTTCTGGAGGAAATAAAAACTCCATATTTTACCGACTGGTTCAATGCCTATTTAAAAAACACAGGTGTGAGAGAGATCAAAGTCTGATTTCTGCATTGAGCGTAAGCCTTTTCCTATTGTAATATTCCGCTACTACAAAGCCTTGAGATGAGGGCTCGAATGTCGAGATGAAGACCTTGACCAGCTTTGGCTGAAGTTACTTCGCATCTACATATCTCCAGTCACGACAAGTTTTAATAGCTGAACAACAATTAGATGGTGTGTTTACGAAGTAAGATGAACTTTTAAAAGAAAAAGATCCTAAACACGTTATTTCATTACTCACTTTATAGAACGTCAATAATTAAAAACTTTAAAATTGAATTTAGGAAGTGCATAAGCAAGCTTAAGAATAAAATAAAATGTAAACTATTCTCTTTCTCTGTTGCTACATTTCAGAGCCAGCATTTCATAAGTTGCATAGCTTATAGAAGAGAGTAGTTTCATTAACTTTAGTGTAATTTTCAAATGTATTGAAAATGTTTAATGAAAATTTTCTGCATAATACCTAATATTGTGGTATGGACCACTTAGTGTTTGTTTGTAATTAAGCACAAAGCTACACAATGGGCTATCTGTGCTCTGCCCACTAAGGATTCTAGCGCAGACATACCGCTGTGCCACTGAGGGGTAGCACTTGGTGAAGCTCCTGATATACCGATATGTATGAGAGCATAAAGCAAATATAACTTTGAACAATTTAGAATTTCCCGCTGCACAATAACAACATTAGGTATTACGTTGTAATATGTTAAACTTTAGTGAAATTTCTAGAATTGCAGTAAGAACACTGGATATAATGTTCTTATAAATTGGAAAAACCTAGTAAAGACTCTGAAATCCGAATAAGGACACTGGAAACATTGTTATTATAAACTGAATAACTTTAACGTAGATTCTGGAATCCCAATAAGGACATTGGGCACATTATTATAAGTTGGAAAACTCGAAAATTTTCAACTTCCAGTAAGAACACAGGACACAATAAGCAAACTGTTTGGTCAGCCCAGCAAAACGACCTCTGTCGGTCGTTCTCAAATCTTCCACTATATAAACTCTGCTGAACCTTAACACTCACTCAGCCACTATGTGTATCTATAGTGAAGTTTCTTTCAATATTTACAACGATTTTTATACATGCTTGGTTATTTTGAAGGTACATCAGAGCACTATGAAATACATCATACAATGATTATGTGTCGCAAATAAAAAGACATATAACCAAACATGAACATTATTTTTATTTGTTTTACAGAAAAGGGGGTAATAGCACTATTAGGATACTCCTTTTCAGTTCATAAAATGTTATTTTTCTTCTTTCTCGCTTTTAGAATCAGGATAAACGAATTAACTGATATGTAGCATTTATTATTCAAGTTATTGTGTTAGCTAGCCCTGCCTGTAAGACTAACAATATAAAACCAGCTAAAGACAATACTGCCACAATGAAAACTTTGGTAAAACTCATTTTCCCCTAATGTACATGTGTAAGTAACCAAAGGATCCAGAAAATGAATCCTTATTTTATTGAATACCCATTGAACAAAATTTCTGTAATAAACTTGCATAGAAAAATAAAATTAACAAAAAAATTACCCCGGGAAAAGTTTGAGAGTTTGTTCTTTTGATTTTTGAATATCAGAACATTTCATTCTCAGTAAAATTGTGGATATTCCAACTCTGTTAAAATAAGGTTCTTCTTTATTGTCATCCCAAATATTTTATAATAACATGTGTTTTATTTTTTATTAAATTTGTGTGTAAACAACGTGTCTAAATATATGTTGATGATGATGCATAACTTTGGTGTTATTTAGAATGGTTTTTTATCTTCCTATCGGTCTTCTCTCCCTTCAAGTAACTGATTGAACTTTACACACTTAATCATGTTTTTCCCTTTTAATTACTTGTTTCACTAAGAGAACGCAATTGTAATAACACTATTCTTTTTTACAAGTGTATCTACGATACATTTAGAATTTAGTTACAAAAACAACTTATTTTACCTGCTCAAAATAAATATATTGTTTGAATACGCACATAACTAAAAAGACATTTATCCAGCTTTTTGCCCAGCGAAGAGAGATGGAGCTGAGTATAAAAATCGGGGTACAGGCGTTCTTCACATTTGCGCTATACATATTAAGCATTGCCCCTGCGGTAATTATCCAATATCAAGGAAAACTTTCTGTCTATCTGTGGACGCATATCATCGTAAAC